TTATAATCAATGTACAGTTTTTTGCAAAATTTTCATGGCATATATTAATGATATTAAAAAATACAAAACTTTTGAGAATGAAAAAAAAAGTTAATTTCAGTATTTGAGATTCTGTCACTGACTGGGTAATATTACATCATTTATTTTAAATATAGCTGATAATAATAGCAGTCTTTCAAACATACCTTACATTAAAGAGTGGACAAAATACCTTGCCTTGGGCACATTATTACTTTTGTTTGTGATGACACCTTTAGTTTCTACATATTCTTAACATCGCATAATAGGATCACAGAACCAGTTTTCTTTTTCTCTTCACGGAGCTCCCAACCAGATTTTAAAGCAAGTGGCCAAAAGAGCCTGCAGTGAAGATCAAACGACAGAAGACAAAATACGAAACCTGTCTATGTTGCAAGCAGCCACCATTACATGAGCTAAGTAGTCTTCGTGATTTTAATTCTTGGAAAACATAAAACGATGGCAACGACTGTGAGAAATTTTCAACCAATGTCGAAAATGATCCAGCAAATATAGTTGGCTGCTTGCCAACCATAAATGCTCCAGCAAGAGAAATGTCAATTGTGCAAGAGATTTTCAATGAATCTTTGTCCATTCAGTTGTCATTACATTTTAAAAACATTTCAGTTGTGCTTGATCAAGCTTTGTTTGTTAATGCAACAGAAACTACACGAAAACATGCGGACAGGAATAGGAACATTGTGCTGATGATGGGTAACATTCCTACAATCTGCAGCTTATTGTCAACAGTCGGGAAACTGGGTAAGTAGGAGTTCGTGAGCTAGTGGTAGGGTCTCATGTATTTGTTGTTGGATCAGTTGACGAAGTTCTTGAAGGAAAAAGAAAACAACCGAGCTTTTCGTCTCCATAAGCTCACACGTGATGCACTGATCAGGTTAGCATTTAGAGAAGTTGAAGACTGGCTTCACATCAACAACAATGAAGATGTCATCGATTTGAATCAAACACTCCATGCAATTTATTAGCCCATCAGCAACGCTTGTGCAGCTACAAGTGATGTTGTTTTGAAGGATGACACTTGTAAAATTTTGAATTTATACAGAGCCTGTCTAAACGATCTGCAGTAGAGAAACGGACCTCCTTTAAGATTATGGATGACTTATATTGAAATTACCGTGATTTTTCTTCGCCTGTTGCATGCAGAGAGGAAAATTGATACTTTCATCTTTCTTGTATCAGAAAAAAGACCTGTGTATTTTTTTTTTTTGCAATGGATAAAACAAAATTATGCCAAGTACCTTTTTGTCTATTATGCCCAAATGAGACGGTCAGAGGAAACATGACAAGAATTACATGACCATTTTCAGAAAGGTGGATTTTCAGTTCAACTTAAGGAAGGAAATCTATTTGGTCGTATCGCTGAATACCACGTCACAAAGGACACCGTAAATTAAGATACACAAACTGCAGGTGGAACACGTGGATTCAGTCTCAGACCAGGAAATGTGGCCAACTATTACTTCATAAAAGAGCATCGAGTAACAGCAGTGAGGCAGCTATATAAACAGCTGCATTTCAACAAGACTATGCAGACCTTACTCACATTTCCACTGGAGTAGTTGTCCAATCTGTTGTTACTAACAGCTGAACAGGAACAACGAATACAAACAGATGAAAAAGTTCAAACTGAAAATTTTCAATACAGTGAAGAAAACATTTAAAGATAAAAGACAATAGGTTATTTCAAAGGCAGACGGAAGGATGCTTCGAAATATGATAGTGACTGCTCGGAAAAGAGACTTAGACCAGAGGGAGCATTTCTTGCCATCCACTTGAACCATTACTATGGGTACTGGTTAATGTTAATGGAACAATAAAGAAAAACTAAGAGTTGTTCTTGCCAAGTAACTAGGAGATAATGTGTTACTAGCCTTAAATGCCCTTCATCTCAATGCCACGCTTAAAAATGTCAGAGCACCAATAAGCAAAGTTAACGGCAAAAATTACACATTTGAAGAACGTTTTTATTATATTTTTGCACAGATACTTCATGCTGAAAAAATAGCAATAGAATTCATGTAAGCGTTGATGTATACAATGAGCAGTCTTAAGTCTGCTGAAGGTATTAGCTATGGCTTCCCAGAAGGAATGATCTTTGGTTGCATAAAACCTGGACACAAAATAAAGAGCTGGAGAGGATTACAGAGAGTAAGGCTAAAATGACTCATTTTCTAGTTGTTATCTGGAGAGGCGGAAAAAAGGAAAACTTTATGGGCATAAGACTATGTTAAACAGAGTGAGTTATGCATTAAACTTACCCAAGAAAATCATAAAGAGGTCAGTGCTCTGAAGACCAGCCAAGAGGCAGATACTTGAATCCTGCTACATGCTAAGAATGCTGCCGAGTACTACTCAATATCTGATCTGCATAATAGATCATAATAGATCATAATAGATCATAATAGATCATAAAGAAGGCTTCATCTTTTGTCTTGTTTTGTGCAATGACATCAGCAACAAAATGCTCATTAGGTGGGGAATAAAAGCTCACAAACATACTAGTCGACATTATAAAACTGGCAGCAGCATTTTGACACTGTAAGTGTCCTTTTGAGACAAGAAAAAGCGAAGTCCCTTAAAATCATTCTTCAAAGATCAGTCACGCATTTACATCTCTTGGCTCAGATTTGGACCTTTCCAAGAATGACTTCAATACAATCCAAGAATTTACTTGTCAACCTAGATGTTTCTGTGTAAAAAGGGGAGATGTAGAATCCTCACCGCTGCCACCTTGAGAGGACATTCTCAGGTAACATACCATCACGCCAAATATCAAGCTGACATTTGTAGTAGCCTTTAAAATTTTCCTGGTCATGGAAGTGACCTGCAGAGAAAAATGATAACGCTCACCCCATTAACCTTCAGGTTTTAAATAAAAATCTCCTAGTCGCGCCTAACAACTACCAACACAAAAAGTTTCTTGTAGTACAAACTGGAGCCATTCCATACATCTGGTCAGTCACTAACCTCATCCATCAACACCAACATTAACAAGTTAAACATATATAAACGGTCAATCTTGGTTAGGCTTAAGTTCTTACTTTAGATCATTCTAGTCTAATATATTTGACTAAAACATTTGTTTCGTATCATCCCTCTACTTCAAACTGTGGGCAATAAGTTTGTATAACATCTCTCTCAACGACCTCAACAAAACTCTGAAAATTTGTCAGCTCCAATAGTGTGCAATTTCGAGGCACATACAAAATATATTTGAGTATCATTCGTTTCAGTGTGATAAAGCGTGCATGCGTGTGGTGTGTGTGTGTGTTTGCGTGTGTGTGTGTGTGTGTGTGTGTGTGTGTGTGTGTGTGTGTGTGTGTGTGTGTGTGTGTGTGTGTGTGTGTGTGTGTGTGTGTGTGTGTGTGTACTCACCTATTTGTACTCACCTATTTGTGGTTGCAGGGGTCGAGTCTTAGCTCCTGGCCCCGCCTCTTCACCGGTTGCTACTGGGCCCTCTCTCTCCCCGCTCCATGAGCTTTATCAAACCTCGTCTTAAAACTGTGTATGGTTCCTGCCTCCACTACGTCATTTTCTAGGCTATTCCACTGCCTTACAACTCTATGACTGAAGAAATACTTCCTAATATCTCTCTGACTCATTTGTGTCTTCAACTTCCAATTGTGGCCTCTTGTTTCTGTGTCCCCTCCCTGGAACATCCTGTCTTTGTCCACCTTGTCTATTCCACGCAGTATTTTATATGTCGTTATCATGTCTCTCCTGACCCTCCTGTCCTCCAGTGTCGTCAGGCCGATTTCCCTTAATCTTTCTTCATAGGACATTCCCCTTAGCTCTGGAACTAACCTTGTCGCAAACCTTTGTACTTTCTCTAGTTTCTTGACGTGCTTTATCAAGTGCGGGTTCCAAACAGGTGCTGCATACTCCAGTATGGCCTGACATACACGGGGTACAGTGTCTTGAACGATTCCTTACTAAGGTATCGAATGCTGTTCTCAGGTTTGCCAGGCGCCCATATGCTGCAGCAGTTATCTGGTTGATGTGTGCTTTCGGAGACATGCTCGGTGTTATACTCACCCCAAGATCTTTCTCCTTGAGTGAGGTTTGCAGTCTTTGGCCACCTAGCCTATACTCGGTCTGTGGTCTTCTGTGCCCTTCCCCTATCTTCATGACTTTGCATTTGGCAGGATTAAATTCGAGAAGCCATTTGCTGGACCAGGTGTCCAGTCTGTCCAGGTGTGTGTTTTGTGTGTGTGTGTGTGTGTGTGTGTGTGTGTGTGTGTGGTGTGTTGTGTGTTTTGTGTGTGTGTGTGTGTGTTGTGTGTGTGTGTGTGTGTTGTTGTTTTGTTTGGTGTGTGTGTGGTGTGTGTGTGGGGTGTGTGTGTGTGTGTGTGTGTGTGTGTGTGTGTGTGTGGTGTGTGTTTTGGGTGTTGTGTGTGTGTGTGTGTTGCATGGAAGTATACAAAACCAATGAAGAGATAATTAAAATTTCAACTACTGGAATTCTCCTTACTCGTGAAGGAGTTACAGGTCAGAACACATTTCACGGGATATATTTCGGGGCTTCCTTTCAAGTAAACACAAGTAGAGTGCTCACTAGGAAAGACAAAAATGGTGCTCACTAGGGAAGACAAGAATGGTGCTCACAGCTGACGTCGTCCCTGCTTGCACCGTCTGTCAACTAGTCTACTGCTGGTGTCTCAGTGGATTAAGTCATCCTCTGTGATACAGGAGATGGAAACCTGGCTTGACTGAAACAACCTGACTTGACTGAAGCAACCTGACTTGATTGAAGCAACCTGACTTGACTGTGGCAACCTGGCTTGAAAGAAGCAACCTGACTTAACTGTAGCAACCTGGCTTGAATGTAGCAACCTAGCTTGACTGAAGCAACCTAGCTTGACTGCAGCAACCTGGCTTGACTGCAGCAACCTGCCTTGACTGCAGCTGGGTGTAGAGGTTAGTGTAACAGCACAACCCAACAGTTGGTCCTCAGCCTTGGTTGAGGGAGGGTGCGTTGCCGCGTCGCTCGGCTCTCCTCGCCAAACGTGTCTGGGAAATAAGACTCTGCTACATCCCGATAATTTTGTGATATACATCATATATTTTAACAACCTCAAAGCGAAAGTTTCTCTAGTGATTCACATGGTATCGAGGATTTATTTTGAGGTAAACTTCTGATTTATTTTGAGGTAAACTTCTGATAACTATTAACAGTTTATGGCAACATTAAGTTATCGAAGAACGATGAAAAATTAACAAGATTAAAGGTTGTTCTGAAGTCATAACGTAGAGACGCGTTTCTTCATTATTATTTTATACACTATCAATTTTCTACGAAGAAGCAATTAAATGATAGGTATCTGTGCATAATTTGGAAACTGCAAGCAACCGAGTAGAAACATTTCCCACAAGATTGAAAGCTGACATGTAATCTATTACATACTGTTAAGGAACCTAGAATCAGGATATTGTGTATGAAAACAGACCAGCAACGAATTTATGTTGAGAATTAGGAAGCATAATGCCCCTATGTAAATTTCCTGCAACTATTTATAGTGAGTGTGCGAAAGTCATTATTATAATTAGTGATCTATATTAAGCGGAAAGTCTGGAGAATCCAAGTAAACATCCGAGATACTCTGTGGAATCCAAGTAAACATCTGAGATACTCTGTGGAATCCAAGTAAACATCTGAAATACTCTGAGGAATCCAAATAAACATCTGAGATACTGTGAAATCCAAGTAAACATCTGAAACATTCTGTGGAATCCAGGTAAACATCTGAGATACTCTGTCATCAATCTTAATAATTAGCTGACAACTTTTACTTGAACCATTATATCATCCAGAAAAAAATGATCAATCAACACTTGACAATAAAATGTGAAAATTTCTAAAGTGATGCTTTTCCAAAACTTAAACACATGATATTTACATCAGAAATCAAAGTACTGAAGCAAGAATGAGTTACAGCAGCCCTTGGAGTATCGCTCGTCGACACAACTTGTGTGATTCATTACAAAAAACTGGGCCAGAAGGCAGGAGACACTTGCAGTGTAGATCTGTGGTATAGGGATTTAAGTGTGACGAGTCTTAGGTGTTTGTAAACACAAGACCGAATGGCATGTCACGCATACAATACAGATTAAAAATGATCGCAGGTGTCAAGTTGTACTGAGGACACAGAATTTTTAGGATAATTATTTCCAGGTGATGATTAGTTAGCTTATTAGAAAGCTCGATGATGAAATACGTGACTACAAAATAGAGGAAGTAACCTAAGTCATTAGTGGTGAACAATGCCACTATTCGATATATTGATTAGAAATGAGCCTTAAGTGACTAATCCCATTATCTCTGTTCCGACAGTGTAAAACATATTGACCAACACTCAGGCTGGCTACCAACCGTCATCCACACACCCCTGGCTACCTCTGATGATTTCCGAGAATTTTTGTACTCCCAGAGCTCGGCCTTGAGCCACACACCCCAGAGACTAAGAAGCCTCACCTTTGTTCATCGGGACACTTTTAATGAGTGATGGCCTGGCACCATGAATTTAGTTACCATCGGGTAGAGTGAGGATGATGATCATTATGGTTCTCTTCTACCTGCTAATCTGCACCATGGCACTGCGAAGCACCGAAGCTGCTACGCTGGAGTCCATCAACAGTAAGTAAGACGTTCTTCTATATCATCATTAACAGAATTGACTTATTCAGAGGGCAACAATAAACACTTCTATATTAAAGACTACGTAAGCAGCTCGGAGCACAAAACAAGTATCGTCACAGAAGAGTAAAATATTCTTTAACCAAGATTCTTGTAGTTATTCTTGCATATTTCTAAAATTACATTAATCTACACTCTTTTTATCAAGCGTTAAATTGTGAAATTTATGTTTTCTGCGAAATTAGCTGATCACAGTCTTATTTTGTAATGAAAACACTTGTAAACAGAACGTTCATGTTTTCATCATTTTCTTGTGTTCTTAGCCGTGTTGGATGCAATAACTTATCAACATCATCGGTTCGTATTTCTTAGTATGGAAAAAACGTATCACCACGTATTTCAAAAGACAATGAGTGTTCTGGCATATACAAGAAAAGTGCACTTAACACATTCACAAGTGCACATAAACACACACACACTTGTGCAAGCACACACACAAAACACACTCACGTCCATGTGTGTGTCTACATTCATATCTCTCAAATGTACAAATATTTAATAGGAAAATACTACAACAATGTTTGCAAATACACACAAACAGCGACTGATTATCTAGAAAACAAATTATGCTTACAAAGACAATGCTCATCTGTACATGCGAATACAAACAAATATTGATTGATTATGCTTACAAAGACAAATATAATTCTTGTTTACACTTACGAATACAAACAAAATATGCTTCATTATACTTAGCAATACAAACGAATAATGCTTATTAATATTTATAAAGACAGATAATGCTTGATCAGAATTAATCAAAGTATCTTCAAGCATTAAGGCCCGGTGGCCTGGTGGCTAAAGCTCCCGCTTCACACACGGAGGGCCCGGGTTCGATTCCCGGCGGGTGGAAACATTCGACACGTTTCCTTACACCTGTTGTCCTGTTCACCTAGCAGCAAATAGGTACCTGGGTGTTAGTCGACTGGTGTGGGTCGCATCCTGGGAGACAAGATTAAGGACCCCAATGGAAATAAGTTAGACAGTCCTCGATGACGCACTGACTTTCTTGGGTTATCCTGGGTGGCTAACCCTCCGGGGTTAAAAATCCGAACGAAATCTTATCTTATAGATATTTTAAATACTCAGGGATAATTCCATAACAATTAAAATGTAGTATTTGATGTCTGACAAGTCATTGTAGGCTTCATTTTGTGCTACATTGTGTGCTAGCTTGCCAGGCAACATAGCCGGGTACATACACTCACATCTCCCTTGTTGAAGTTTATAACTTCCAACCTAAACCTTATGTGTGTTAGAATGTCCGCTACGTTCTGTGCTACATTCTGAGCTTCATGTATGAAATATTGGGAGCTCCATTGTGTGAATGTTTGGTGAACTGTGGGACATACTGTGTGCTATATTGTGTGCTCTTCTGTGCTATGATGTGCTACATTGCGTTATATTGTCTTCTACATTGTTTGTACATGTTTTGTACACTGTGCTACATAATGTAGTATATAGTGTTCTACACTGCCTCACTATGTGCTACAATTTGTGCTTCTTATTGTACGACATTGTGTGCCACTTTGTTACACTGGGAGCTATACACTGTGTACGTTGTGTGCTACATTGTTATACTGTGGGCTACACTAAATGCTACATCACAATGACTTTACTAACTAGAGTACAATGAAATTAAAGTTTGCAGACTCAGAAGTTTGTTATTATCGGTACTGTCATTCCTAATACCAGGTTATCGTTGCTACTGTCACTAATACGTTATTAATGTTATTCTCTGCTAATGCTATATTACTACAGCTACCGTCCATACTACATTATGATTATCGTCACTATTAAGAAAACGAATGCAACTGACAACAGTTCTTCTAATACGATACAAGAGTGAATGTTTATAATGTAGAGAATTCATTGAAATTTCAATGAACAAGAAGTTGCCTCTGAACTTGCTTCCTTGCTTGAAAAAGAATTTAAGAAAAGAGACGTCGAGATTAAACGATCGAGACTAAAGGATCAAAGATGAGCATCTAAACACTGTCAGAAGCATTCTTCAAAACTACAGTGAAATTGTGATCCTTCTGTTAAGCTTGGCTGAAGGCCAATGAATGACGGAGGAGCGGTTGTCACCATCATGAGATAGTACATATAAATAATGCATGAGGTAGTAGTGCAAAACTTTTGCTTTTCTACATTATTTTCTGAGCTATCAGGAATTATATAAAAAACTGACATATAATTCCTGAACTAAAGACTCTGAGGAGCCAAGATGACGTGATGAACTGGAAGGGAAAAGGTAACGTTCATCTTCATTATTATTCTTCATAAGGTATGTTTTGAGTTGTATAAAACTTCTAAAATCTGAATAAATGCTACAGTTTGGAAAGTTTTATTTTTGAATATTTGAAATCATTATTTTTTCCCACTTTAATTCATGGTGCATTTTCTGAAATAGTGAAATTATACAGTGAGACAAAACGTGCTCAAGAACCTCCTAATAAGATAGTTCGTCATTAGAAAGTCTAGACAACAGTATTGTTAGGTGCAGTAATGGTGACAAACGTTGAGTAACGATGAACCATTTGCCAAACCTCGCTCTTCAGTTTTAATGAGTATTATTATTATCATTATTATAACCAAAAAGAAGCGCTAAACCTACAAGGGTTTTAATGAATACTGATGTTTTGCTTCATGAGTTAAAAAGCTGTGGTTCACTGACAACATTAACTGATGTAAGGCTGCTGATGCTGTAACTCCTAACCAAGAAAACTTTTTGATCTATAAGTTCTTCTCCCACTCACAAAGACAGACATTACAATATCAAGTTCTGAGGTACTCTGAGGAAATTTTTTTTTGTAATTTGTATCAAGGAAAGTAACATACATAACATGACAATGACGGTCCTTCAAAGGTTGTTTGACCATAAACAAGCCATCCCAGATGTGTGTCAGTCTGATTCTGCAATCGCAACAATTGGGTGCCCTATTGCAATATGCGAGATCGTATTGTCAATATTAACTCACATTGATCGGCCAAGACGTCAGGGAATGTGTGACTGCAAATCAGAATCTTTTTTGCCTTCCAATCCTGGCGCACCATTAATTTAAATATTAATTTCTAGGCAAATTCTTAAAAAAAAAAAAAAACGCAGACTACAGCTGTATTAGCTCAGTCATAACAGATCACGTACGAACATAAGAAAGAAGGAACACTGCAACAGGCCTACTGACCCATGCGAAGCAGGTCCATGCCACCCCCCCGGCTTAGAACAATGACCACTTAGCCGTGCTCCTTCCTTAAGTGGAAGTG